TATTTTCAAAATCATTCTTAATTATCCCATCGATATGTTCTTCTTAGGATTTGCCAAGACAAAATCAAATAGAAATGGAATGTTTTCGATAATTAGAGTTATTGTTTTGAAATTTGGACGTGATAGATAGGGATAAGATGCTATATATTTTAATTTCCCGTCGCTGTTCTATGTGATTCTCTAATTTTGCATGGATTATATCTCGTTATTGTCATCATGTCATGTATATCCATAATTTTGAAGTCATATATGATGCTTGCTTGTTTGTTTTGTCCTTCTTCGAATCTGTTTTTTCCCCCTTAGTCGGGTGCATCGCAAGAAAGGATTTAATTTGGTCACGAACATAAATATTATTCAGTTAATATTTAAATTTACAATAATCAAGTACTATATATATTAGCAACAAAAATTCAAATTTATATTTAATATATTAATCGTTCTCATCATGCCGGATAGAGCATTTATCACAACATCTTAGATATTAGACATGTAATTCGATCAACTTAGATGTTAATTATTAATAATGCTTCATCATGCCAACAATTTGCAACAAAAATTCTAGGGAGGATTAAAAAAATAATCAGTTAATCAATTACATCTTCTTCACATCGTATAATAATACCCGTTTGGTTTTAACTGTAAGATACATTTTATAGTATATTACATTACAAATAAATTTTATATTTAAGATCAAAGGAGTATATTGTAACAATCACATGATGTTAGCTAGGCATTCCCTATTCAAACCTTAACCTGTCAAGTTATGAGGGATTAATTATTTTCACTAGACCTAACCCCATTAGTAAATGAATAATGTTTTTATTGCCTTAATACACATGAAAAAGTTTTGGATGAGTTAAGCATGCATGAAGGCACGCTAATCAAATATAGGGCATGCATGTCTTATAATTCAAATAAAAGATTAAAGATTAAAAAAAATTGAAGAGCTAGATCTCGTGCTAGAGATGATGAAAAAGACGAGGGCGTGCAGTTAATGGAGCTTGGCATTCATCAGATGATTGATGATTGATGATACAAATAATTAAAATCTTGATAGGATAGACCGATATACATAGCACCATATATATCGTTTGAAGCTAATTAAGGGAAATAATAACAAAGAAAGCTGAGATGGATTTGCGTGCATGAACAATAATAGACGAAGAAAACTAGTGTTAATTAACAATAATAATTAGGAGGAAGCAAGGGATTGCAGGAAAAGTGGAATGAATCAATTGAGGACAGCAGATGAGCACGCAAGCTAGCTAGCTAGAAGTTTTATTGAGGACGAAAGAGTATAGCATCATGAGCAATCAGCCTTGGAAAGTCTTAGAGCATTTGACTGCTCATGATGGTATCTCTTTTCCTTCTTCAATTAATTGGCATCATCCATCTGTCTTCTTCTTCTTCTTCTTCTTCTTCTTCTTCTATGGCGAAGTTTTGATCTATCGAAACCCTGCGCCTAGTGCAGGAGCCCAATAGTCTGCTCCATTGTCACTCCCAACTTGCATTGTGCACGACACTGGAACCAGACACAACCCTCTACTTCTCAGGTCCTTCTTCCTTTCTTCTCTTGATTCCTACACACACACACACAAAACAAAATCGTCAATATATATATATATAGATGGTTCCATTTATCTTTAATTTCAATGTTTTATCGTAGCAAGAGCTATACTTAGAGAAAAGAATTATTAATAACCTGCTGATTACTGCCAGGCGCTTTCCTCTTCAAGCTGTTTTCATGCAGAAGCTGAAGATGAAAAGCGGACAGAAAAATTACAATGAGATGAGAATGTGATGTATATACTCAGCATCTAACCTCTATCTTTTGTTTAATATGAGGTAAAAGTAATTAATGAACCACTTGTATCTTCTGAGTAGCTTTGGTGTAATAATATATTAAATCTGACAAAGCTGGTGAAACGTCCTTTTAGTCATATACTTTGTTCATTTAATAACAATAAGAAACTGCAGCATCTTTCCAAATGCAAAAGCCCCAGACCCATTTTTAAGGGGTTAATGGATCCAATGAAAAAGCCATCATACCTGACCAGGGTCTTCAGGGAATATACAATTATTCTCTCCTTGAACCTAACAACAGATTATAATATTGATCGCAATTAATTAATAATCATGACTCAATTACTAACCACACACACCACACAGCTGAGACTAAAACAAAAGCAATTAAATTAAACCAGGCACATGCAAGAAATTAAGGAAGAACTCTTACTGCAGATTGTTGTTGTTGGTGCCTGATGTTTGATGAAGCAGTATTGCCCAAGTATGGTAAGCTGAGAGCCTGCAGTAGAATCCGAGGGGCAGATTGAGAACTTCAAGGAAAAAGGAACAAAGTGAAATGGAACTTTAACAGCTAGCGTGCAATGCCATCACTGACTGACTCATATGGTTGTTTGGTAAGAAAAGAATGAAGAAGCATCACCTCGATCTGACTCTGAAGGAATCTGATATACCCAATAGCTTCTAACAGCACAGACGCTGTGTCAGTCTGCAAAAGTCACAAATAGCACACCCCACTATATATTAATCATGCATCCACAATACACACACACACTCTCTCTCTTATATTTTGACTGATACGGAAAGTATTATGGACGTGAAACTTCATATATGACCTTATATAATGAATAAGAGTTTGAACGGTGAAGGGTTTTTTTCCTTTTTAAACTCCTTTTTTGTTTCTATTTTTTATTATTTGAGAAGCGACTTTTATTATCATTTTCTTAATCGAGAGATTCAATTCTCCCATACAGAAAATGCATTACCCATTTGTGTCCCACACTTTTTCTGACACGAAAAGTCGAAAACCTCATGAAAATGAGAGAATCATGTCTAGACTCATGCTCATGTTCGACATTTATGTGATCAGTGTTCAAATAAAGTTACATTTTTTACTTTGAAAGTATATTGGGAAGGCCAAATTAAAATAAAGTATAACTGTAACTTGTAACTAGAAAAAGGTAGATGCTTTTTATACTTGTGGGTTTATTTTTTCCTGCCCTCACAGAGATTTATATTATTTTTTTAACGGGACTTTTGGGTATAAACTATAATTTATAAATACGTGCATTTTAATTTAGTCGTCTAAATTAAGCTAGGCTTACCTTCCCAAATGGAGAAACTAGCTGATGAAGGGCTGTGATTCTGTCACCCAGCTTCTCTCCTTCCTAACCTGAAATTGAGAAGATATGACAGGCACACATATGGTTGACAGTTAGTTTCACACATGGATTGGTTGTTTCAGTTGCCTGAGAAATTATTATTCTTCTTCTGGGTTAATTTGAGGAAGAAAGAGACAAAGAATCAGCATGATTGAGAATAGGACAAGTAAAAAAGACAAGAATTACCACTCACACATGATGTCTGTGTGGGTGTGCTATCTAAAGCCTAAAAGAGAGCTGAGGTTTTGGAAATTTTCTGCCTGGCTAGTTTATAATACGTTGTTTTTGCATTCAATACCTTGAAGGTGGACTGAGCTCCAGAGAAGCTTGAACCCTAGCCTTCTCACTGCCCCACTGCCCCACCACTTGCACTGCTGTTGCACTTGACAACGAAATTTTGGTCCATTAGAATTAATATTTCATAAGCACGAGTAAGACTAACTGGAAATGAAGAAGAAAATTGAAGTAATAATAATTATTATAAGTTGGTTCGAAGACAGCACAAGGAGACATGAAACTAAAGGAAGAAAAGAAACGAATCCCTAGCAATTCACAAAAAGCAGGATGCGCGAGGAACTCTTGATATTCTTAAAGACACGCTTTCAGGTGTCTGGAAATTAATTTTTCTTGCAGAACCCAAGACTTTAACTGAACAGAGAACACCTTCTTTGACATAAGTGCCAAGGGAACCTAATGTCTTGACTTTTTCTAACTCACAACTTTTAGACCCTTTTTTTGTTCTTAAAAAATTCTCATCTATCGGATACCGCCTAAAGGCATCGAGTAATGGTAAAGTTCCATAACATAGTTTTTGTAACTTGTCCGCAAGAAGAAGATGAAAACAACAAGGAGCTGCGATCGGGAGTGTTATTATAAGTATGCTTATAGGAAATCTGGTATCTTTCTCTTACCTCAGAAGATGGATCTGGCAGAGACGGCTTAGCATCGGTTTGATTGTTAGAGAAATCCAACATATTGCTGCTGAAACTTGTGACACAGGACTTCGGGGAAGAAGCTGGTACTACCATTTGAGGCCAACCTGCAGGTTTCACTGCTTGAAATTCTTCGCTGCTTCCATGTCCATAGCCATAGCTGTTCACTGAACTTTCTTGCTTAATATCCACGAGAGCAGCATTCGGTGCCTGAAACTGACCCATACCTCCTCTATCTTCTTCACCACGATCCAGCCCTTTAACCAGAACCATAAGTTTATCACCATCAGGCCAGCTGCTCAAACTAAAATAGATATACATGTACATATCGTGCAGTATAGGAACTATATATTATATGTGTGGATACGTACATGAGAAGTTGGGTCCATGAGTCAGGAAACTGTTGTTGATTGTTGAGGTCATGTTGCCAAGAAGGAAGTTGCTGATGATTGGGTAGAAAATTGGAGGGAGAGGACAAGAAAGGAGAAGGTTGTTGAGGTCGCATGGTGTTAATATTGATGTTCCACCAGTTAGGATTGGCCATCATTTGCTGCACCGGTGAGCTCTGATGAAGAAGATGACCTCTATTCATGCCTTCTTCTGACACTGCAACTCTCTCTCTCTCTCTCTCTCTCTTCTTCCTTCTTCTTCTCTCTTTCTTTAATTTCTTGATGCTCCTTCCCGGACAGGGGTCTTTGTAGAATCTTTGAGAGGTCCTCCTGGTGTTGATTATGTAGGACTAGCTAGGAGAGGAACCATACTGCTAGTTGGTCCCATATATATATTTTTTATAATGCCATTTGAATAGAGCTAGCTAGAGTTCTCTGTGAACCGTCTCTGTCTTTTGTTTTTCTCCCTCCCCTTTCTTTCTTTATTACTTTGCTTTGCTTTTATTTTCTTCCTTCCTTTCGATGTTTTTCCTTTCTCGCCTTTGCTTTTTTTTCTATTCCCCCCGCCTTGCTTTTGCTTTATCTTAAAGTAGGACAGAAAAAGGTAGTACCAATTCCCATTAAATTAAGAATTCCAATATATATGTGTGTGTGTATGTGTATGCATCTCATGACTCATCACACTCGAGTGCATGATATTTCTATGATATGAAGCTACGTGGCCCTTTCATGATGCCACCTGTGCATGTTGCATACCCTTTTGCCCTCTGTGTGGCAATTAATAAAGTAAACGAATGTGTAAATTTTTGGGAATTTTGACTTGTACAATCCAAACACTATAAAGGATTCCAAACCTTTTAATCAATGCGTCATTCAATATTATTCATATACCTAATATCTCCAATGACTGAAGTCGATCGTGTATTTTGTGTGTGTACGTATTGATGAAAAAAAAAGTTTAAAGCATATATGTTGCTAATTAATTATTTATTTATAGTGTCAATCCTTCCCTGTTTTTTGGCTTTAGAAGTAATTCTACTTTTGAGAATATGATCCTGTTTGATGTGCATGGTTGATTATATTGAAATATATCTAGTTATAGTGACGGATGATAATAAGGATGCGTTATATACTTGCCAAAACCTTGTTACTTACTTGGCTTGCCCAAATAATGTGTACATATATATAATCTTGATTTAGTAATAGATTGAAATAAGGAAAAATTTGATTTGCTCAAAACTCCATATTAGGTAGATTAATTGAAGTAGGAGGAGAGTGAAAATCAATTTTACTTATTGCTTGAGAAATCAAGCGTTGATGATTATTATTTTCCATATATAATAATACTTCCATTGGAGCCTATGCTCTAAGAGTCTCGGGTTCAAAATATAAAATGCATTCGTTAAGAAATCCTTGATTCGTAATACAAGTTACCTATATATAGAGTTACTAATTACTATTTTTTGATGTTATCCCTATTTATTAGTGCCACAAATTTGATATCGAGAAAGAGAAGAGAGGTGACGGATGAGAGAGATTGAATAGGGACAAAATTTTTTAAAAAAAATTCTCTCAATTTAAGAAAAAAAACTTAGAGTTGATCCTCTTTTTCAATTTCAGCGATCCATGTCATTGAAAGTAAATTATATTTTGAACCAGGCGATAATTTTTCAAATGGTACATGTGTTTGTTAATGAAACCAGCAAATTTATATTTGCTTTAGAGATACACTCATAAAAGCCAATCATCAATAGAATGAAAAGAACAATTGCAAATCTTAATAGAACGACGAAGAAAATATATTGATTTACTCTGACTTTATGTTGTATGTGATATTTTAATTTCTTGGCTAGCTACTTAATTTGGCGTTTCACAGTATGATGTTTACAATAATCATATAACCAGGAAATGATGTGAAAAAATAATTTATCAGAGGAAATCACGGAAAATATCTTGGGACTTAAAGTAGGGAAAAAAGATCCATGCTTCTTTGAGTCAACATCCAATTGTCATTTTAAAGATAAAAGGTCCTTAAAAGTAGAAGGGGGAACATCCGTGACAGCCTTCTCCATGTGCAATATTCTTCAATTTATCTATTTCCAATAATAGTACGCTATATCCAAAAAAAGTTTAAAACTATCGCTTGAAACATTCAATTCTCAAGGAGATTAAAACTGAAGTACCCCCTTTTTAATGCATTATTATTGGATACTCGTACTTATGGTACAAAGCACATATCTTCGAAATGGGGAAAAAAATTTCTCATATCCTATATCTAATTTTATGTATATTACAAGTCCTACATGAAAGAGTCTCACAAATATAGTACAGTTTAATTTATAAGTCAAGGAGTTCTCCCTAGTAATAAATTAATCTTTTGGGGTTTGATTCTCCTTTTAAATTTGTGCTCATAATAAAAATATTTTCATTAAAACCATGAAATTCACAAAAATATCATCACAAATGCCCACAATAACAATAAAAGCTACTACTTTTGGTCATTAATATAAGAGCTAGTTGACTAATTTAAATAGATTAAGAAAATTAGTTAAATTAGTTATTTGTAATAAATATGTGTTGTATTTTCTAAAATATCCTTACTAATCAAGTATATTGATTAAAACTATCATTATTACAAGGAATACCTTGAGAAAAATAGATAAATTAATATGAGAAATAAAATAGATTGAGGTCTTATATTTATGACTAAAATAAAAGTCAAACAAGTTCTTATATCAAGGATCAGAAGTAGTATAAGTCAAGACGCTCTTTGTTAATACTATCTCCAGTCCTTAATAAGAGAGCTGAATAACTAATTTGAATATATTAAAAAAATTAATTAAATTAGTTATTTGTTATAAGTTGTGTTGTTTTCTCTAAAATACCCTTGCTAATCATGTGTATTAGCTAAAATTATCATTTTATTGAACATTTAACATGTATAACTATTATAATGACTACTTGAAAAATAAATAAATAAATAAATATAAGAGATAAAATGGATTGAGATTTTATATTTAGGACCAAATTAAAAGTGAAACTAAATTTTATATTAAGGACAGATGATAGTAGATTAGTTTTGTAGGATAAGGAAAATTGCATTTCATCGATCCCCAAAGAAAATTGTACATGCAATTAGCTGAGCTTAACCAATGACACGGCACTTAAATATAGGTGGCAGGGTGACACACACGCACACACACTCATGTATGTGGGTATATTTATGTTTTTCGTATCTTGGTAAAAAGTGAAAAAGGAAATTTGGAACTCTATATATGTATTAATAGGGGAGAGTGCGTATGATTAGCAAAAAGCTAGGAGAATCCTGGACGCAAGGAGCAAGTGGATGATAAGTAAATAAGCTGCATCCACAAAAAGCAATATATTCATATGTGATATGAAAATATACAAACTAAAATCGTCCTGTGCGACTGCCAACCAATCCTATATGGCCGTATATCATTGACCCCCTTTTTGAAAAGTCTTTCTCATTATTCACAGCAGTGCAGAAGAGCTCTCGAATCAAATTGTATGTTCGCTACGAATTTACTTTTATTCCTGTAATATTTTCCCATATATTTTCGTATAAATTTATTTTCTTGAACAGGAAAGCAAATTTTTGTTAAAGCGTTCATTTAGTTTTAGTGTTTACTTTTTGGAGGGAAGAGCATAAATCCTCATATAGAGTAACGACCAATATAGTTTAATTTATCAAAGTTTATCTTTTTATTATGGGAGATTGTTATGAAATCTCAAGTAAAAAGCATAATCACGACAGTAAATGATAACTACTCACTTATTATTATGATTTATTGATGATTATTTTTTTTCATTCAGAACCTCATTATAATTCTCGTTTTTATTATTTTTTAGTTTGCAGATAGAATTTTTTTTCTTTTAATTTCATTTAAAATAAAAACATTATATTCGTCTTTTAAGTTATCATACTCAAATTAAAAAATGTAATGAGTGAAGTGATATATATATATAAATATATTTGAATGGATTAATGCTATAGGGCTAAGGGTCTCCAATTCCAAGAACTAATTAAAAACCATCACACAGATTTGAGATATTGGCTTTAGAGCACCTCTGCTATATATGAATTAACGTTCGTATGGAAAGTGTGGAAACATCGAACATAAATAGTTCTAATAATTAACAAATAATTGATGAGACGATTCATCGGGGAATCCCCATGATTGTCCCCTAGCTAGCTGTGTTACTGCCTCCATCATATTTGTAAGATACTTTTTATTAAATTATACATATTAAGAAAATTATTAAAATTAATTAAGTATTTTGATTTGTAAATTTTTTTATAATATTCCAAAATTATACTGAATTAAAACTGTTAACTTCTATCATCAATTTGAATCTTAAAATCAAACCTTCTATCCAGATAAACCAATTAGCTATGTAAGCATTCTTTTTAAATAATTCATTAAATTTTATAGAGTGTCTTGTAGTAGCATATGTTAAGGATAAAACGCTTATGCTTCTTTCTGCAATCCTCGCCAAATTTTGTTGGCTGTGTGCATCTGGAACTGAGCATATAATTATTCACCCCGCAACACACACTTGCCTGCATTAACTTCTATGAACATTCTAATTAGACAAATTAAAAACTCAAATTGTTAAAGTAATTAATTAATTAATTAATAATGGACACAAAACGATGATTTGAATTTGATATTGAGACAATAGTATAATTATTGGGGAAGACAAACATTCCCTGAAACCGCATTTTGAGGTTACTAGCAAACAAACAGAAAAAGCCCTTAAATCTGGATGAAGCTATTGCACTTCCCAACAAAAACCAGAGAGGCCAGAAAAAATATAGGAATGAGATTCACAAGACAAGTTTGGTGGTGGTGTTGCACTGCCAAATGTTTTGAACCCATAACTTCATTTCCAATATAACTCTTCAGTTCAATTCAATCTCTTTTCTTTTCTTTTCTTTTTTTATTTGGCTTTTTGTGTCCTTTCCCCACAAAACAAGCATCACCTAACTACACTTACCTTCTTGTCATTATCCTCTTTCTCTCATATTCCTTCTTCTCTCCATCCCCTCTCTTTTCTTTCTCTTGTTTTTTTTCAAACATATATTCATAATTAATTATACTACTCTTCTGTCGCACATGATTTTTTCTTT